CAAGTTGCAGTGGGGGAGGTTTAGATTGGATATTAGGAAAAACTTTTTCACTAAGAGGGTGGTGAAACACTGGAATGCGTTACCTAGGGAGGTGGTAGAATCTCCTTCCTTAGAGGTTTTTAAGGTCAGGCTTGACAAAGCCCTGGCTGGGATGATTTAACTGGGATTTGGTCCTGCTTCGAGCAGGGGGTTGGACTAGATGACCTTCTGGGGTCCCTTCCAACCCTTATATTCTATGATTCTATGATTCCTTTTCAAAGGTGGCTGCTTGTTTTGGGTGCGTGATTTGAGATGCTTCATTGGGGCCTGATCGCCAGAGGGTTGGCACTTTCTGAGCCCTTTAAGTTGCCTGAAGTTGGGCGCCCCAAAATCACGAGTCATTTCTGCAATTCTCAGCCACCCCGTCTCTTTGGAGAGTTGGACTGCACTGTAAATCTCTTGGGAAGTGTGCTTCTAAACCTTCCTGCTGATGGTGGGGTTTAGAGGTGCCTAAAGCTTTAATTCAGTTACACTTGGGTGTGCAGTGAAAATAGTCTGCCCCAGTGGGGGAGGAAGAGTTGTAAATGATGCGGTGAGCAGTTTACACACACACATGCGCGCGCGAATGACCTAGCACAGCCCACTTTGCTAGGGGCGTCAACCCTGCTCATGTGAGTCAGACCAATCAGAGCCTTTATCCTATCCAAATGAATATAGGAGGACCAGCCATGCCCTGAAATTGAGGCAGAATGAGTAGCGGAAAGCTGGAAAAGACACAGGAGTTGTGTATTTTACATACATTGTTGCCTGCAGCCTCAGATCCATGGTCCAGTGTGTGGGATGCACATAGCAGGGGGGGGAGGAGTATTTTGGGTCAGTGTGAAGGAGCTGACGGGCTTTAACGGAGAGGCATACATACCAGTGTCTAGCTCTTGTGTTCCGCCACCACCCACGCAACAGATCAGAAGGGCTCGTGCCATGGAGGGGGGGCCGTCTGAAGCATCTGGGATTAGCCCCCTAATCTTCCTTGAGATGAAATAGTCATCACTGAGCATGGTCGGTAATTCTGTACTGCGGGCGCCTGGCTCACAGGTGGATAGCGTTTCTCTCTCCGTCTGTCTGCAATGGGGTAACCTTTCAACTTGTCAATTTCAAAATGTCAGGGAAGGTTGTAGGCACCAGTGGGCAGAACCCTATTGATCTGGGTGAAAGCAGAAGAACTGAAAGGAGCCCCGATGTGGGGAGAATTGGGAGAGGCACTCGGAGTCCTGGTATGGGAAGTGGGGGTTGGAGGGAGGCCCTGAAATAGAGGAGGACAGGAGGGAGGCGCACAGGGAGCTGGTGGGGGAGGATGGAGGGAGGCAAGGAGCCCCGTGCACAGTGATCTTTGCCGATAGCAGCAACAAGGTGTGAGCTGTAGCTCACGAAAGCTTATGCTCAAATAAATGTGTTAGTCTCTAAGGTGCCACAAGTCCTCCTTTTCTTTTTGCGAATACAGACTAGCACGGCTGCTACTCTGAAACCAGCAACAAGGTGTGAGATTCTCTAGTGTAAAGACAGACGGGAGGAGCCTGGGTTGAGACTGCTATGCAGATGGGGATAGTTAAAGGGGTGTGGATGAGGTGGAGGGATGGGGGCAGCACATTGCAGTTTGATCTGTTTAATGCTTAGAAGGCACTGAGTCGCGTCAATCATCAGACCCTTCCCGCCCACCCCCAAGGAGGGAGGCCTTTCTCCATCACCAGAAGAGCCCACTCTTAAAGCTCCACAACTCCCTTCCCCAAAGAACAGCCCTGTGGCCTCCAATCCCTCCTCCCCCTGCACTGCTCATTCTGTGCAGTTGGACCCTGCCCGGGCCAGCTAGACCCTAGCAGCTCATGTGGGGATTCTTGCCGGGGGCCCCAACAGGGGTGAGGTGGGAAAAGTGGGTCTCACATTTCAGCAGCCAGGAGCTCCCCCTACTTCCTGGCGCAGAAGCTCCCTGTCCGTGGTGCCCACTCAGAGTGGGAATTCACCTGTTCCAATGCCACGCACATCTAATAAGTAGCTGTTTGTCTAAGCACTCTCCCCAGAACCCGTTGGGTACAGATCCTGGGGTATTGCATGGTAAGCTTACGTTGCTGCCCGACACGCTGCTCCACCGGTCTCGGCTCCCTGCTTAATGGCACGTGTCCTGAGTGGCTAAAGCTGGGGAAATAATCGTAATGCTAATTCTCACCTCTGTAGCTTGCTAATGATTATGCATTAAACCCAGTAATGAAAGGGAAAACCTGGGCCATACTTTGCCTTATTGCTGACATTGGCTATAGAGGCCTCAGCCAGGCCTGGGCAGTGCCCAAAGAGCTTTGTGGTCCAGGGCTCTGACCCTGTGCTGCTGTGTCCATGCAGAGCACCGCCGACTCTAACAGTCCACCCATGCAACGTCAGTTGTGTGACTGGAGCCTGCAAGATAACAGGCGGCTGAGGCAAACGAGCAGTGGGGTGGGGACGGGTGAGGCAGGATGGGAGGATGTTGTAGCCTAGACAGCTTGTAGCCAATCAGAAGCAGTTATCCCAGCTCACAGCCCCTGCCTACTCGTTTCTCTGTGGGTGATACAAACGCTTGGGAGGGTAACCTGTGTGTCTAGCCCTTATGGGGGTTGAGGTCAGCGTGGGGAAGGCAGCAGGTTAGCTTGAGTGTAACACAAGGGTTACTTCACATGCAGCCCGGCAGGGACGCAGCACACCTACCTCTCCGACACACCATGGCCACCCTCGTATGGGTCAGGGTCATCCCTGGCACGTGTCTGCCCTGCCACCCTCGCCAGCTCTTCACCTGACTCTCTGTCACCCTGAACTGAGCGGTGTGAAAAGCCCTTGGTCTTGGCTCTCGCCAGATCCTGCCTGTTGCAGGCATGCGCCCAGGGCCAGAGCCTCTTTCTGGATTCCTAGAGGCTAAAGCCGGAAAGCGAGCCTTCTGCTGACCGAGTCTGACCTCTGGCATAGGAAAGGCCGGAGCGCTCCACCCAGTGCATCCGGCACCACGCCCGCAACTCGTGATTGAGCCAGAGCAGATCTGTTAGGCCGTGTCTACACTAGAGCACTTACAGCGGGACCGCTTTACTGACGCAGCTGCACCCCTGTAAGATCGCTCGAGTCGCTGCTCTGTGCCGAAGGGAGAGAGCTTCCCTGCTGACATAGCACTGTGCCTTTGTCAGTGTAACTTATGGCACACGGGTGTTTGTTTCACACCCCGGAGCGACCTAAGTTATACCTACAAAAGTGGGAGTGTAGACATGGCCTTAGAAAGACTTCAAGAGACTGAGATCACGTCCCTAGGTAAGCTGTCCCTATGGTCGATGGTCTCACTGTTAGCAGTGTACACCTTATGTCTAGTCTGATGTCTTACTGGGCAACGTAGACAGCCCAGTCCATGTCTTGCGAATGAGATTTCCAAAAGGGAGTCGTGATTTTGGCTGGCCCCAATGTTTGTTGCCAAACTGTAGGCATTTTAGAGGGCCCTGTCTTCCAGGGAGGGTTGAGCTCCCTCGGCCCTTAAAAATTAATCCTCTTTCAGGTGTGTCAAGCTGGGTGTCTGAAATCAGTAGCCATTGGCCCCTGGCTGTAACCTGATCTCCCAAAGTCCACAGACTATTGACATGTCAGTAAATGACTTGTCAGCTACACTCAGTGGCTGCTTGGGGCGTGGTGGGATGGGGAGGCCGTGGGTTCGTTGCTTCCTCTGCTTCGTGGCATGTGTGTTGTCTGCTGGGCTTCTTTATTTCAGCGTCCGAGCCGTTGCAAAGCAGATTGAATCTGCCAACTCCTTTGTTTAGCCAGGAACAGGCAGTGGGGGGTAGGGACAGGGAGTGCTTGTTTCAAGTTAAACAAGGCAATATTGCGGTTTCACTATCTGTATCCATCTCCCTTGTGGTTAGAAGCCTCTTAGCTTTACTGTCCTTTTTACCTTACACGCCCTTTTCCCAAAGAGGGCAGGGCTGGCCTTTCACTGGTGGCTTAATTGCGCTTTGATGGGTGTCAGTCTCCGGGACACAGGCCAGCTCATAGGCTCTCTTTCGGTGGTCGGGTTGGCGGGGGCCTTTCGGAAGTTGTAACTTTTTGGCTCAGGAAGGAAGTCTGTTTTCCTCCGAGTTCCCACTCCCTGTGGCTGTAGCTGGCAGCGTCTGATCCAGCAGTTACTGTTCCCACCCACACTCAGCTCAAACATGTGAACTGCAACATCTGCCAAACCCCGCATGTGTTTTGAGTTTATGGAGGCAGGAGCTTGGCCGCTGTCACTAGCTAAAGCAATAAGACATGGAGATGGAGCCATACCCTAGAAATGAACCTTTGAAAGCCACGTCTGTTACCTTCTTCGGTCAGTGCTGTAAAGTTACCCCTGCAGGAAAGGCTCCCTTATGGCTTAACTTGCTAAGAAACTCGGGTTGCCCCTTGTTAGCTGTGTGTGGCTTTTACTGCTAAACATTTACAGCAGCTCACCCAAGGATTTCAGAGCATGTAAATACGAGCCTCGCAGCCCCACCCCTGCGAGGCTAGAAATAATCATAGCTAGCTCTGACCCAGTCCTTCTCTTGAGTAGATCTCCATGTGCTTTACAAAGGAGCTCAGTATCATTATCCCCGTTTTACAGATGGGGAAACTGAGTCACAGAGGTGCCTCTCCCAAGGTCACCCAGCAGGTCAGGGACAGAGCTAGGAATAGAACCCAGTTCATGTGAGTCCCAGTCCAGTTCTCTGTCCACGAGGTCACACTGTCTGGTAGTAATCCATAGCAATGTGTCTGTCGTACAGCTGAGCAAACCGAGTCACAGAGAGAGGTAAAGCATCTCAGACAGGAACAGCCCAGTTCTCCTTCTGTTGTAGGGAGGATGCTGTGCTTTAGAAATACAGCCCTGGGGAAATGGGAGATTGGCGGAAGCTTCAAGCGTCTTCCTCTCCACTGTGTTGGTTTGTAAGATTCTGACTTTATGTATCTATTGCTAACTGCTCTCCCTCCCCTTCCCCCACCTGCCCTTCCATTAGGACTGGCCCTTTGATGACGGCGCTCCTCCCCCCAGCAAAATAGTGGAAGACTGGCTCAACTTGCTGAAAACCAAGTTCTGCGAAGACCCTGGCTGCTGCGTGGCAGTTCATTGTGTGGCTGGCCTGGGCCGGTAAGTGAGGGCTCGAAAGGAGCTAGGAGCTGCCCTTAGGAAGAATAGCTAGATTTAAATATCTTGTTAAAGGGAGATGTCTCCTGTTACAACAAACTGCTAAGTCCCTTGAAGCTTACTGAGCTGCAGAGAAGGTAAATTCTCCCTCTTCCTTTGTGCAGTTGGCAGGGCTGTTCGTATCATCAGACCATGCTTGATGGGACTCATCTTGGCCTCTGTATTGTCAGGGCCCCTTCTTGTTTGGGGAGGGTCTTCCATGCAGCCACACAGGATGGGGACAAAAATCTTTTAACAAGAAAATGGGATTGTAAAAGTTCCGACGCTGGCAGGAGAAGCCAGGCCAGGTTAGAGAGACGAGATGGGGGAGGTCAAATCTTTTATTGGACCAACTTCTGTTGGGGAAAGAGACAAACCTTTGAACAACTCAAGCTTGAAAGTTTGTCTCTTTCCCCAACAGAAGTTGGTCCAGTAAAAGATCTGACCTCCCCCATCCTGTCTCACTAATATCCTGGGACCGACACAGCTACAACGCTGCACACAACAACGGAAGAGAGCTTAACTCCTTAGGGGTTTTTATAAACACCCTGGATTTCAACTCGATAGCCTCGCTCTTTAAGGGGGGAGGTGTGATCTAGAGAGCGTCCCTGGGGAGCAGCTGGGCCTCACACTTGTCCTCAGTGCAAGTTACCTAAAGCAGCTGTGGCCAGGCCGAGCAGGGGGTGTGTGTGTGTTAATGAGCAGTCTCCAGTCCTCAGCTGAAGCAGATTAGGATAGAATCATAGAAGGATCCTGATTCAGCAAACCACTGAAGTACATCCCATTGAAGTCCATGGGATTTAAACTTGTGCTGAAGCACGGAGGGGCCAGATTGAATAGTGGGGAAGGGAGTGGGACTCTTCTGAGCTCTGCCTACGAGTCACCATGATGAGAGATCGCTCACCGCAGGTGTGCAAAATAGGAACTATGCTGGGCTCTTTGAGCTTGGCTTCCCCTCCGCGGGAGTTGACCATGCCCATGGGCTCTGCCTGGCTTCTCAGTTTGGGTGGCTAAATAAATACAATGGTGGCAGCTCCCAGATGCCACCCACTTGGCTTTAATGGGAATTGGGCATTTGAATCCATGAGGTGGCTTTGAAGATCACAGCCCAACACCCCATGGTCTGGCTGGGTGGCGTGCATAACAGCTGTTCATTTTGCTCACTCCATTGCTTATTAAATCCCTTTAAGGTACCTGGGGAAAGAAAGGCAGGCACTACATAAATCAGTGACCTGGCCAAAACTGGGCAAGCTAAAGAGAGTGATGACTTTATACCTCTTCCCTGTATTTAGAGATGTGATCTGTCATTCCCTTGCAGGGCTTCTCGATCCTGGTCCCTGTCTGGGAACGAATCTCTCTTTTGGTTTAAAACCCGCCCCAGAAACAAAGCAGGATTCCAAGTGCAGGTTGTCACACAGTCGTCTGCAACAGCTTTTAATATGCTCTTGGAATCCTGTATCATTCACATACTGGAGTGTCACAACGACCTAGGTTGTATTAAGGTCTGTCATGTAAACGTGGCTTGTAAAATCTCCCCCCGTTAAAACTAGAAGCCACTTTTCAGACACTTTGTGTCTAGTCCACTTCGGTCTGGTTTGGTTTTTGTTTGTTTTATGGTTTGTTTGGTTTTTTTCCTTTAGTAGTCTACTTGAAAATCATTTGCCAAATTCCTCTGAAATCAAAGCTGTGTTTTATAGGGAGAGCAGTAGACAGGTGTAAGCTCTGTCCTCTCTTTATTTTATCCTCCTTGCTTTAAAAGGAGCATCGTTTCTCTAGGCATGGATATGCTGCACCTCAGAGCTCCAACCTCGAGTTAATTTTTGTGGCCAAACGCCAAAGCCTGAAACCCAGAATTTATGTGGTGGGAAATGGCAGTGAACACGCCACTATAACTGTGCTGCTGGGGTTTGCTCTGGGAACCTATTGTAGGAGAAGCTGGATGCAAGTGTGTCTGTTTCTGTGTGATCTCTGCGTGCTGTATAACCCGTTGATTTTGTGTGTGCATTCATGGTGCTGTGGGTTTAGCGTGGGGGGGATTGTTGATGTGATGACAGTAGGTTTGGGAAGAGTCCATGAGTTTTTTGGTGCTTTTTGTTCAAGGCTCTTATCACTGTTGGCATTTCTTTAATTAAAGTAGGAAGTGACTCCTCTTGTAATTACTTTCCAGAGCTCCTGTTCTCGTAGCCCTGGCTCTGATTGAGAGCGGGATGAAGTATGAAGATGCCATTCAGTTCATCAGACAGTAAGTGGCCTGGAATAAACCCCTCCACTGTGTGCCAAGCAGCAAATTGACAGTGTAAAATATCCAGAGTGACATGGCGTGCCCCAGGGAATAAATCGCCGGTGCTCACGAGAGGGGCAAGTCCTGTTTCAGAGCCGCACCGGGGGGCCGGGAGAGCATGAACTTGTGAACTCCTCTGAGCGGCTGGGTGGAAGCAGGGTGAAATAACCTTCAGAAACTTGCTTTATCCTCCCCTGAACTGGCAGGAGATGGAGAAAATGAGTCTCACGTGCCTGGTGGCTGCATAGAGAGGGAACGAAGCCTGTCATCCTCCTAGCTCTAAATTAGACACCATCTTCATATAAAAACAAACCTGGTGCTATATTTTTGTTTGCTTTCCCCCCGCAGCTGGCCTGTGCTCCATGGGTCAAGCTGTCTGTCGGGAGTCTGTGTGTGTAAATCGGTAGCCAGAGCTGAGCAGATCCAGCCCACTTTTTTTGCTGCTCATCATCAGTTGCTGTTTCCCCCGCTATGCTGGTGGTTGTGGGCCAGAGGGATCAGGGAATAATTAGTCGGCTAAACTCCTAGTGACCTATTAATGCAGAGTTCATTCTGGAGTCCTGAGCAGTTCATTAGCAGAGCTCGGATCCCCCAGGCGAAGGACTGCACCTTCAGTTCTGCTGCATTGACAGCTACTCGGTAAATGTAACAAAGATTGCAGAGGTCCTGGGCAGCGAAATAACTAAATGCTAAAGGGAAGGAAGGAAGGAGGCGAATGGATAAGTTGATTTCTAGACCAACAATCATCTTAATCAGAAGGCAGGCGCGGAAAGCAGCGAGGGTCATGCACTGTGTGTGTGTGTAAGAAGTTGACCAAACTCGCACGTGCTGTGACTGGTTGGTTTTTTTTTCATGACAGACGTTTCTATTTAGCCGGTCTGCAGGGCAGGGCAGTGGGGAGGGCTGTATGGCTCTCTGGCGTTCTTCGCTCCTGGGAACTCCACTCTTGACCATTCTGTTGGTCATAAGTCAGCCTAGGCTATAATAGACCTTTCTCGTAGCTGATACTTGCTGTTAGCCACTGTTTCTATATTTGTCTACAATCCCACTCTAGTCTTCATAATATATTCTGGTCCATGCCCTGCAGCTCCCATTTAGGACTGCAAAAATGGGGATTATTCTCTTTCCCCTTTCTCTGATGCCAGCTATGACTGCAGGAGGGAGAGAGGTTTTCCATGAACACCAAGTATGTCAGTCTCTATCTGTGGTCTGATCCCCAGTTCCTGTCCCAGATGATGAGTCCCACTCAGCTATTTCTGCTCAGGCTCCTCCTTCAGGCGCACTCCATTTTCATTGGAAAGGTTTCGTTGTGTATGTAGAACAGAGCAATTCAAAATGGAGGGTGTCAAGGTTCCTCCCCCACTCTGAACTCTAGGGTACAGATGTGGGGACCTGCATGAAAAACCTCCTAAGCTTATCTTTACCAGCTTAGGTCAAAACTTCCCCAAGGTACAAAATTTTACACCCGTTATCCTTGGAATGGCCGCTACCACCACCAAACTAATACTGGTTACTGGGGAAGAGCTGTTTGGACGCGTCTTTCCCCCCAAAATACTTCCCAAAACCTTGCACCCCACTTCCTGGACAAGGTTTGGTAAAAAGCCTCACCAATTTGCCTAGGTGACTACAGACCCAGACCCTTGGATCTTAAGAACAATGAACAATCCTCCCAACACTTGCACCCCCCCCTTTCCTGGGAAATGTTGGATAAAAAGCCTCACCAATTTGCATAGGTGACCACAGACCCAAACCCTTGGATCTGAGAACAATGAAAAAGCATTCAGTGTTTTACAAGAAGACTTTTAATAAAAAATAGCAGTAAATAGAAATAAAGAAATCCCCCCTGTAAAATCAGGATGGTAGATATCTTACAGGGTAATTAGATTCAAAAACATAGAGAACCCCTCTAGGCAAAACCTTAAGTTACAAAAAAGATACACAGACAGAAATAGTTATTCTATTCAGCACAATTCTTTTCTCAGCCATTTAAAGAAATCATAATCTAACACATACCTAGCTAGATTACTTACTAAAAGTTCTAAGCCTCCATTCCTGTTCTGTCCCTGGCCAAGACGACTACAGACAGACCCAGACCCTTTTTTCCTCTCCCTCCTCCCAGCTTTTGAAAGTATCTTGTCTCCTCATTGGTCATTTTGGTCAGGTGCCAGCGAGGTTACCTTTAGCTTCTTAACCCTTTACAGGTGAGAGGAGCTTTCCCCTGGCCAGGAGGGATTTCAAAGGGGTTTACCCTTCCCTTTATATTTATGACAGAGGGGTAAATCGGGGACTAGCAATAGAAGAGCCAATTAGCAGAATATGTGTTCTCCATAGTCTGTTATCGGTATTAGCCCAGTTTTAAATGCCCCAGAGCCAAGAGATTCCCACCATTTCCTTGGGAGAGGCTAATCCACAGCCTATTAGATCTCCCCGCTAGGGTACTGTTCAGCCTAAATTTCCCTCTGCTTAACTTCAGCCTGCGGGAGTTCGCTCCATCCCATATTTCTTGACTCCCCAGGTAACAGGGTTAGTGTAGCTGCAGACACGCAGGCCTCCTGCAGTCAAAGTTGGATTTGCTGCACAGCTGAGTGCAAGAGGGAGGACAGGGGAGAAATGCAGCTTTTAGGAACTTGCCCTCTGGCTTCACTAATTGAGCAGCAACCTCTCTGGCTTCGAACGCCCAGCCTGGGAGGTGCGTGATGTGTCCCCCAGAGCCTCTACGGCCACTTGCTGGCCATTGGGCCTGTTAGTCTTCTAGGGTTCTGCCTGGACACTGAGAGATGAGCGGGAGGCAGAGAGTGCCGGGGTGCAGGGCTGGTTCTCGGACGCTCCCCAGCCTTGGAGCACTAATGGCTTTCTCGTTGTGTTCCAGGAAGCGCAGGGGAGCCATCAACAGCAAGCAGCTAATGTACTTGGAAAAATACCGGCCAAAGCAGAGACTCCGATTCAAGGACCCTCACAACCACAAGAACAAATGCTGCATCATGTAACCTCAGCAACCTCTTGCCAAAACACACGCACAGACACACACATGCGGGCACGCAGGGTCGGACGGTGGAGTTGCGGGGAGCTTGGACAAAGTGGCACTGACCTTTCTTTGTAAATGGGGTGCTCTCTCTTTAAAGAATCGCTGCACCCCTGGCCAGCTAAGGTCGAGGAGGGAAGATGGTTAGGCATCTCGCTCCTGGTTTTAATGAACAGAGAATTAGCCCATCATTCCTCCCACCCCAAAAAATCTCCCTTCCCCCTCCTCACCCCTTCCCCACCTGCAGGCGGAGCTTGAGTTGATCTGAATTCTTTGCACTGAGAGTGAAAACCATCTGAACCCACCTGCAGGAAGAGATCTGTCTATGCCGTGCTGCCCTGGGGATGGGTTGCGGGAGGAAAAGCTGCAGAGAATTTGCCTGCTGCCTGGCGTGTGAACAGCCGCAGTCTGGCGATGTGTCAAATACGCTCTGTCGGGCCAGCCCCTTCCACTGGGTTTGCTGGATCGGGGTTAGGACATGCTCTGAGGTTGGGTTTCCTCTCTGGTGACAGACATTCTTCCCTCTCTCTTCTCTCTGTGCTGCTCTTCATTAGGGCAGCACTGTTACCCAGTGGGGCACGTAGCATCCAGAGCAAGTGGATTGTTTTATTTCCCTAAAGGGCTTCAGTAGAGCTGGCTCCAGTCAGTCACCTGGGGCAGAGTGTTGTTGAGGGAGGAGACAGCACTGTACAAACGCCGCTCCCTGGCTGAATTCCAGCCCTGCGCTGAACATCCCCCGTGTGTCTCGTGGGACCTTAACTCCACAGCAGAGAACTCAGTTCATTCAGATCTCAAGGGCTCTCTTCCCCCGCCCAGCTACCTCCCTCCTTTGCCTGAAAAGAACCTGGCCCAAGAGTTCCTTTTCTCCTTCTGAAATCAAATGGTCTTCTTTTGGGGGAGTGGGTTGTACACGGGGGTGAGGGGGTTTGGGAATGGAAGGGGAGTGCGTTGCTGTGGCCAGTAAAGGGTCTTCTAGCTGGGAGGAGAGGGGCTTAGGTGTGGATGCTAGCCCGCTGTTGGACAGGTGCATCCCAGAGCATATTCACACCCTCCAAATACAGACTCCGGGACTGGGTTGGTGCCAGGGCTGACAGGGAGGGAGAAGGGGCAGCCGGACAATTTGATGTCACAGAGGCAAAGCATGCGAGGGAGTTGGGAGTATGTGAAATTTCGGTCTCATTCTTGGATCGTAGGAGTTTCCCGTCTGGCTCAGCGTTAGTGTAACTAGCCAGGATCTGCTTGTTTCACCTTGAAACCCACCATCTGGCTGGAAGACTGAGCAGCTTCCTACATCAAGTGAACCCCAGGAGAGCACAAGGGGGCAGGTGGTGATATTGCTCTTGAAATTTGTCATCTTTTCCCTTCTGTCTGGGTCTGATCTTCCCCTTGGCACAGCGTCTGCTGCAGCAGCTTCCCGTTCGGGTAGCCAGCCCTCCGCGGTGACGTCCACCTTTGGCCATGACCCGTGGCTGGGGTTAGGTACCACTGCCTTCGGGGAAACAACATGCAAGGGGCTAAGAGATGTTGGGTTCTCTCCTGATTGCTGCAGCTGTAACCCCAGGCTCCCCCGGCAGCTTGGGGAAATGAGCTGAGATCCTCTCCCTTGACACACATGGCCTGCATAAGTGCATTACCCAGGAAAGGGGAGCACCTCGGTTACAGAAGGAGGCCAGTCCAGCGAAGCGGTGACTCCAGAACTCTGCTTCGGCAGAGATGCCCAGATTTGTAGGGGGACCGGGGATTGGGCCTCCGCAGAAAGGTACTACTATTCTGTCTTACCCCTTCCTCCATTCTAAGGAATCCAGGGGAGAGCAAGTGGCCGGTCTTCTCCTGGACTGCAGGTGTCAGCTTCCCTAGAGCACTGCCCACGTGTGTCCTGTCACCTCTTACCTCTTTATTAAATGCACAAGCTTTACAAAATGGGAAGATGTTTAATGTGCTGCTTGTGTGATGATGGGAACGGGTGCTGCCGTGGGCAGCGTTTGGCTCAGATGCCGTCGCTGAGGGCTAGCGGGCAGAGCACACAGCGAGTGCCCACAATCACAGCTCCGTCATACGCTTCCCCTGTGGCTTGTGCCCATCACATCACGTGTGTGTGTGTCCGTGTCCCGAAAGAGGAGATGAGAGGGGCTGGGAGGATGGATGCAAAGCGCCAAGCAGCCATTGAGTGTTAGGGGAGTGCTGCGTGGTGGTGTCCTCCAGGAAGCTGCCCCTGCTAATCTGCATGAAAGTCGCTGGGGTTCTAGGTTTGGAGAGGGGGTAGGAAAGGCCAATCTCTTGCATGCAGGTCCTGTGGCGGGGAAGGATTAAGAAATTCTTCCTCCAAATCCTGCATCCATTTCTAAGGGCTCTCTGCTACACCGTGAGCGGAGGGGAGCCTGTGCCTGAAGAAAGGGGAGATTCCATGTGGGCAGCCTGCTCTGATTGGAAGGGGCAGGTGAGATGGGCACATCCAAACAGGTGCCACTTGCTTCTGACCCAGTGCCCCTGGGCTTGGGGAGTGCAGTGCTCCCCCGTGGGCATGGGGAGGGAGAACAGCTTGGAAACCCCTGGAGTCTTCCCTTCTCTATATGGCTCCCTTCTGTGTCGGGAAGAATAGGGCCCCGTGTTTCTTCACCGGTGGTGAGGACTGGCATGGCCCGTGCCATTGCTTTTCCCTGTGGCTGTGCATTTCTCCGCGCTCAGAACAAGGGGGCTCAGAAATCACCCACTGCTGGCTTGCTTTTCCCTAACCACCAGCCAATTGGGGAAGGGGGTCTCTAAAGGGATTTCAGTGACACTTCTCAGAGATGCAGCCCCAGGGAAGGGTTTTTCCCTCCTTCTCAGCCCCCTGGCTGTTCCAGGTTCTGCCATGAGCTGGCGAGCCCCACATTATCTCCCCTGCCCCCAGTATCCAGGAACTAGCGATTGTTTAAAACTGGGGCGGGAAGCAGCCACCTTCCCTTGTGGCAGACGAATCTGCAATGCAAGGAGTGTTTGTGGGGGAGGGAGATGCAGGAACACCGCCCACGGGATCTCTGGGTCGCCACTGCACGTGCTTTCTTGTGGGGCTCCGGTGAACCTAGCGATAGGGAGTTCTCCACCCAGCCGCTGTCCTGAGTCGCTCTCTGAGCATGCCCAGGCGCTGCCGAGGACGCTTTGCACGGCCCGCTGTTGAAGGCCATGTGACATGGAAGATGGCCGATTTTCACCCTCCCCGCTGTGTGGTGGAGAATGGAACGTGCTGGCCCGGTGTGAGCACGGCTTCAGCGGTGCTGTGCCAACTCAACCCCTCTGCGTGGGTCAGTCCGAGAGGAGAGGTCATGCCTCTTCCGCTGTCCCCTCTAACTTTGGGGGCAAGCTTGGGGGTAAGGGGGCAAATTGCCCTCCCTCCAGCCTGTACACTGCTGTATGCTTCCCAGTTTGTCAGTGCTATCGGCTTTGACCTCGCCTGGGTTCCAGCTCAGGATCTCTGTAAGCAGGCGCCTCCTTGTCGGGCATTCGAAGCGTGGATGGGCTCAGCAATTCATCTTCCCCAGCCCAGCCCACAACCTCTCCTGCTGCCCTGCAGCCAGCAGTAAAGATGGAACCCTCCAGTCTAGAAAGAGGCGCTGATGCCAGAGGTACTCCAAGCAAAACAGCCTGCAAGGTCACCCGTGCCCTGGGCGTGCTTCAAACTCCTCCTCTGAGTCGGCACCTGGCTTGGCTTTGGAATCTGCCTTGACGTGCTCCGCGGCAGCACAACCCATTGACCCTGCACACACCCTCCCCCAAGTGAAATCCTTAACGCAGGCACGCTGGAGCATGGGTGTGTGTAAACACATGGCGACAATTACATCATAAACACCGCTGGGTGTGCTTATGGGGCGGCTGTCCAGTGGCAGAACTGACGTATTTAAACACCCATCACAACATGCTTTTCAAAATGTGTTTTCTTCTTGCAAGGGCAGGAATTAACGGATGAAAAATGGAACATATTTGCCTTCCACGAATCCTCCGGCCTTTCTTCTCTCATCAGCTCCATTTCCAAGCACTGCAGGGCACTGCAGCACGTCTATCAAGGAACAGGGGCTGGAAGTCCCCGCCAAGGGAAAGAAGAATATAAACTTTCCCCCTGAGCAGAACACAAAGAAATGATGAGAAAAGATCCACAGTGCAAAACCTTCCTTCTGGGGAAGCCAACCCAAGTTGTTCATGCTTATTGCATCCCGAATTGGAAATGTAGCCCATGCGTGCAGGCCCACTCACCTGCCGTGCTGGCCAACCACAAAGCCATGAATGGAAAGGACTCGGCCCCTCTGCGTAGTTTGTGATTGTAACTCATCATTGTAGAATCTTCCATGACTGTCCCGTGGGGATCATAAATGGGGATTACATATGCTGATTTCATCTGCGCCTTGTCAGTAATAGAAACGTAGGACAGAACCTATTCATGTGGATGGGCCCAGATGATCAACAATGATCTTGAGTGGCTCTGCTTTTGAGGTGCCCAACCTGAGCTGCCTTAGAGGGGCGTTGACTTCCAAAAAGTGCTGACGATCAGGCACCATTGAAAGTCTCAAATTCTGGGCCCCTAAAACTGGACAGTCACCAGCCACTCCTGCAAATCTGTGCCCTGCAGCTTCCCGTCTGATCTCGTGAAGAAGGCTTTATAGATTCTTCTGGCATCTGCCAAGGAACCAGTGTAGGTTTAATGACTTCATGCTGCATAACTTATTCGCAAACCGTCTCCGGTGCTGCCTCTCCTCTACCCCAAACGCCACCTCCTGAGTCACAGCCGGCACTTCACAGGATGCTCACGCTGAGGCCAAGCCCAAGGGGTTGGTTAGTAGCGTTATTCCCCCAGCTGGTACTGTGCGCTGCTGGGAGACTGTGGTGACCTCGGGTCTGCACCACACTGAGCAATCAGCCGCTTTCACAGTGCCCCTGAGCAGGGCTGTGTTTCTGTGCCAGCAGCTCGTCTCTCATCTGCCTCCGGATCTTGGCAGGAATCTCCCACAAGGTCACTGCTGTTAGATGGAAGTGAGACGACACTGAGGTACTGTCTGTCTAGATAGTGTAGAGTAAGAGCGCTCTCACCAGCCCTGTCTTTGATTTGCTACCAGGATCCTCCATGCTAGGGGATACACTTCTCCACACAAAGGAGCTCCTTAAATTCACATGGCGACATCCACGGTGGTTCTCCACTGTCAGAATCCAGGGCACAGAAATCCCCATCTTGGTGTAACCTGACATTAGTGGGTGCTCTACAGATCCGCGCAGGGTAGGAGAGAGTAGTGTGTTGCTGAGTATCAATGAGGTTAGAGATGGGACAGACCTGCTGCAGCAGTAGCCCGGAGGGGATTAAGTTTGGTGTTTAACTGATGCAGATTGGATGCTCTGTTTCTCTCTGGTTTGCTCCTGGAGCGTTTATTTGCAGGCGTTCACAAAAGATGCTGTCGCCACTGGGTATTTGCACTGTGATTGTAGGTTCTCCTAACTTCTGCCCCATGTCCTAGGAGTACATACATCTCCACCCAACCCATCCCCTGCTCTCTGTGGGACACCCACCCAGCTCCCATGAACTCCCTTGGCGTTTCTCCTCCAGTCCACTTCACTAGCACGTTTCACCTGGGCAAGAAGCCAGCACGATAGGGGACTGGGCAGGGGTGGGGGCGAGGCATGGAGGAGAAGGGTGTCAATCGTGAACTGCTGTTGCAGTCCGTGGCAGCAGGATTGTACCCTACATGTGGAGCCCTTGGCAGGTTAGGACAGGAACAGGGATCCTCGTGGATGTATCATGAGTTACTTTAGAGGGCTGCAAAGTTAACCCCCATCAGTGCTGCTTTCGTCCAGGGGTGGTGGGAGGGTGTTCTTGGGCCTCTTGGCCAAAATGCCTGGAGTGTCTCCATACACCCCCAGATCACAGCAGGCTGCAGCCATGTTGCTCCCCTAGTACAATCCATGTACCCTGCTGATAAATCCTCTTTTCCATCACATGACGGGCCTGCGAGAATACTGCACCCTGTAGCTTTCTCGCCCTCCCCTCCTGACCCTAATCCTCAGGGTAACGGCACTGCGGCCCAGGATGAGCAGGGATGTGCATCGGCACGAGCGCTTAGGGCATTCAGTGTGGGTCGGTGGCACGGCATAGTGCAGAGTGGCAATGGGTTTGGATCTGGTACGCTCCTCGGGGGGAGTGTGAGAGCTCCACCCGGTTCGGTTATGGGAGCCCCTTTGTGCCGCCCCCACCCCCATGAAGAGTTCAGAGATTGAAACAAGTGGCTCTTGTCTGTACTGGGGGGTGGGATCTGAACTCGGGGGGCGTTCTCTTTGGAGGGGGCTGGATGGGGACAAGTCACAGGATAAATCAGGATCAATTCCATTGGCATCATGGAGCATGTAGAACTGATGTGACAGGAGACCGCTGTCTCCGCCTTGCTTTGAAGATTGGTATTGTGAACTCCCTCTGAAGGCCTCTGTGTGTTAAAATGGTGCCCAGTTTTCCAGGTCACTGCAAAACCATGCCCCCCTTAGCTGCTGTCATTGGTTTTTGATAGACACCTCTCTCCTGTGACGGAACTTGTTACCTCCTTTTGCTGAGTGGTGTTCTGTGTACGAGACCCCGATGGTTTTGGTCAGGGAGCGGGGAGGGTTCTCATGTCTCGGGCTCTCAGCTGGTTAAGAAGGGTCAGTCCAGTAGAAGTTCTCTGAGGAAATCTTTGTGCCTGCACAGTCATTACTTGCAAGTAAAAGCGATTGAGTGGAGCAGAGCTGGGGGTGGGAGGGAGGGTGGGGAATACCTGTACAGAAAAGGGATGGCGTCTTAAAGATGCAGTTTTAAAGCCTGGGGTTAGGATTGTCTAGATGGGACTAACAAAATCAAGCAGAAAAAGTGCTCAGATTTTCCTCAAAAAGAACAGGAGGACTTGTGGCACTTTAGAAACTAACCAATTTATTTGAGCATAAGCTTTCGTGAGCTACATGCATCCGATGAAGGGAGCTGTAGCTCACGAAAGCTTATGCTCAAATAAATTGGTTAGTCTCTAAGGTGCTAGAAGTCCTCCTTTTCTTTTTGCAGATACGGACTATCACGGCTGCTACTCTGAAACCAGATTTTCCTGTTTATCTCTAACATTTGCCACCATTTCTGGCTAGTAGCGACAGTTTTTGACGGCCAACCAGAGCAATATCTCCCCCCCACACACACACACGGAACGGATGAGAGGATCTGCCGTTTCTCCTTCTCACCCCTGACATTGCTGCATCATTTCAGTGGCTTGATTCAAAGCTGGACTGTCTTTGCCTTGCCCCTCGCGCATGCGGCATTTCAGCAGTTGCACGGGTCTGGATAGAGGATGTTTGCTTTTGACTTCCTCCCACCAGCTCCTTGGCTGAGTCATTCCTCATGATGACCTGCAAAGAAGGGGGAAAAAAACAGCTTTGTGCCTTTTTGTGCTTCGTGGTCCAAGATTTCCAAATGTGGGTGTAGAAAGGGAGGCTCCTAAACCCATTTTTAGGCAGCTAAAATGAAAGGGGCCTGGTTTTTTCAGAAGGGCTGAGCAGCCATCCTCTCGCTGTGTTCAGTGGGTGCTGAGCACTTTCCCTCTGGACGGAGGAGCCTGACTTGAGGTTCCAATTTCTGAACAGCTTGGCCGCGAAGTGTTTTCAAAGGCAATAGAAAAGGCCTGACATGTTGGGATTTTTCCTGCTGTGTCCACCCTTTCTTCCTGGGAGGTTCCCCAGACAATTGGAAAGCAAGCAGGTTTCAGATACTGGAGGCATCATAACCATGAAATGAGGCTTGCTGGATGGTGGAAGTGATTTATATTTGTGTTTGGTTTTGCTAACCCTTGTTTCTATCAAACACCCAACAAACTCTTGGAAGAAGAGAATTCGTAGTTAAAGAATTGTCCTTAATTGAAGTGGCCAGGGCATCAAGACCGTCCCCGAATCACTTCTCTGGATCATCCCAGCAAAACTAGGGCAAAACCTGATTGACATTCCTGATGTTTCAAATAAAAAACAAACAGGAGAGATAAATATTTCATGTCTCCTTTGTCTATCATAAGGAAGCAAAAAAAAAAAGACATAAACTGAGCTGTAGGCACCATAGACCATATCCTTCTTCCCTTCCCTGTAAAATGAATTCTCTTAAATATTTAAATTCCTACCACTGACACTGTGCCAAACCCTAGCATGTATTTCAGACCCTCAGCATGATCGCTATAAACAGGCACACTGTAGCCAGCATCTGAAGAACCTTTGTGCTATTCATGAAGGAGAGGAATTGTCTCACTGAGCTTGAGTGGGGGTGGGAAATGTTAACCGGGGCGGGGAGGGGCATTTCCTCTGTGTGTGTGTGTGTGTGTGTGTGTTACAATGTTTTGGCTTAAAATGATCATGTTTTCCCTTCTGTTCTCAATGCTTTGTGATAAAAAAAAAAATAGAAAATACTGAAAGGTGACAGTGGTGAGGAGTGTGAAATACCCGTGTAAATGGCCACTTTTTCACCTGAGGTTTGTTTCTACCTATTTAAAGATTGTGTTATTGGTAAATTATGTTGTGGGTTTTGAGATAAAGCCACCACCTCCATGCTTGGGCTGAAGGAGCTTTCAGCAACAGGGTTATTACCCCGTTAGCCAATTTGGGAAGAGGCAGGGTCTCGTCTGTCGAAACAAAATGAGGGTTAAGTTGCTTTATTTTTCAAAACTGACACAAGGAAGCAAAAGAAAGATCCTTTTTTAAACTGCAGTTTACAAGTTCTTCTATCCCGTTTGCGTCTAACCACTTGGCTACATAGGCAGCTTCAGCTTTTGGTCGTCTTATGGATACTGTCTGGTGAGGCAAGAATTCGCCCGGTGTCTTTGCTCAGTGTGGGGCCATGAGACACTGGGCATCACATTTTCAAGCATATAACCAACATTCTTAGGGGGGTTTTTTTAGTCTTCTGCTTTACTTTAGATAATATTCTCCCGAAAGAACTCTTGATTTCCCAGCTGTTTCTTTCTCAGCAACAAAGAACTGCATATAGTTTTCCTTTTAATCTCCATGGGCAATCTTAGTAGTATGTAGATTAAGCCCAACGACTTTTTTGGTCTGAGCCATAGCTAAATTATTATATCCAGTGCTTTTATACCAGACAGCATCACTTGGGTTATGCAGATGAGGTATAGGATCTTGACACTTTATAACCTTTTTTAAAAGAAAAGTCTGTTTACTTATGTCTTGTGTAAAATTGTATGCCTTTTAGTAATCACTTTTTTGAGTTTTATGAAATTCCTAAAGTGGATTAAGGGGGTTTTGCCTCCAGCAACAACAGCAAAATAAAAATAAAAGGGTTCACTGTTTTGTACATTGTGTTGTGGACTTTTCTTCAGTGTTCACCTTCGAGCTTTTGCAGATCAGGTGCTCTGTGTTCAAGCTTGTTAGGCATGGCTTGTGTTAGGGGGGTGCTTAGGGGACGTCTACGCGGCAGCATGTCTCAGAACGCGGCTCGACAGACTCAGGCTCACAGGGCTCAGGCTACTGCATCAAAAATCGCCCTGTAGTCCTGGCTTGGGCTGGAGCTTTGGCTCTGAAGCCTCCGGAGCTTCAGACCCTGAAGTCTAATTTTTTCCCACGCATCTGCAGAATGAATTTTTGTTATGTGCACCAATATGGAGGCGATATGTGACGCATCGCCTCCATATTGGGGTGCAAAACAAAATTCATGTGGTGGGGGTGGGGCCGAGGGGTTTGGAGTGTGGGGCGGGCTCAGAGCTGGGGCAGGGAGTTGGGGTGTGGGGGGTGCAGGCTCGGGTGGGGCTGGGGATGAGGGGCTCAGAGCTGGGGTGTGGGGGAGGTGAGGGCTCCGGCTGGGGGTGCGGGCTCTGGGGTGGGGCCAGGGATCTGGGGTTTGGGGTGCAGGCTGCCCCAGGGCTATGGCAGGGAGAGAGGACTCCTCCCAGCTCGCTCTCCCCGCAGCAGCACCTGGCCTGGTTGGGGGGAGAGCCGCCTCTCCCTATTGCAGCAGCTCCGGGGTTGGGGCAACAGGAGAGCTGCCTCTCCCAGCTGCGGCAGGTCCGGGACTGGGTTGGAGCCGCAGAAGGGGGCGCCTCTCCTACGGCTGTGGCAGGTCTGGGGCTGTGGAAGAGGCATAGAATCCTAGAATATCAGGGTTGGAAGGGACCTCAGGAGGTCATCAAAGCAGGACCAATCTCCAATTAAATCAAATTTAGTGCCTGTGCGGCGCTTCATGGGCTGCTGTGCTGAGGGGAACATAGGTCTACATGGCTGTTTTTAGCACAGTAACCCAAGTCTGTTGACTTGGGCTCTGAGACTCGCTACTTCTCATTGCGTAGACATACCCTCAGAAGCCCCAGGTGAGATCAGGGCCCCATCCTACTAGGCACTGGAGAGACACTTATTAAAAATTAGTCCCTACTCCAAATAGAGAAGGGAGGAGGGACAAAGAGGCCCAGAGAGGAGAAGCGACTTGCCCGGATCACACTGCAGGTCAGTGGCAGAAGCAGGAGTCGAATCCAGGTCTCCCAGTTCAGTGCTTTTTGGCCTGTCCTACAAGGCCCCACTCCACCCCACCTCCTCTCTCATTTCTTACCACCGACCCCTCCTTTATGGCGATCGAGCCTGGCTTACTATGTCCTTTGGCAGACAGCAAAGAACTGGTAAGTTATTGTCTGCATGTTGGAAACTTCCTGAAACTTGCTGTAAGGCCCAATGAGAAGAAACGAAGGGATGTGCCTACAGGCAGTCTTGCCCCACTACCCACCCCACCCACCCCCCCACCCTCCAAGAAAGGTGGATGAGAAGGAAGGAGTACAGACATGCCTCCAGAACTGTGGATTGGAGAAAGTACACCTGGAGACCCATTGCAGGGCACATGTTGATCTATCTTGATTTTTAGTAAGGCCTTTGACACAGCCCCACGTCTCATTGTTCTCATAAGCAAACAAAAGGAAGTGTGGTCTAGAGGAAATTGCTGTAAGATGGGTGAAAAATTAGCTAAACAATCCCAGTTCCCTCAGCCTCTCCTCATAAGTCATGTGTTCCAGTCCCCTAATCATTTTTGTTGCTCTCCGCTGGACGTTCTCCAATTTTTCCACATCCTTCTTGTAGTGGGGGGCCCAAAACTGGACACAGTACTCCAGATGAGGCCTCACCAATGTTGAATAGATGGGAACGATCACGTCCCTCAACCTGCTGGCAATGCCCCTACTTATACAGCCCAAAATGCCATTGGCCTTCTTGGCAACAAGGGCACACTGTTGACTCATATCCAGCTTCTCATCCACTGTAACCCCTACGTCCTTTTCTGCAGAACTTCTGCCTAGCCATTCGGTCCCTAGTCTGTAGCGGCACATGGGATTTTTCCATCCTAAGTGCAGGACTCTGCACTTGTCCTTGTTGAACCCCATCAGATTTCTTTTCCAGATACTTCAGAAGGAATGAACAGAACAGGGCAATTATCGAATGCTCCATCCTCTGTCATCCAGTCCCAGCTCCCAGTACTCAGTTTTAGGGACACCTAGAGCATGTGGTTGCATCCGTGACCATCTTGGTTAATACCCGTTGATGGACCTGTCCTCCATGAACTTATCTAATTCTTCCATGTAAGACATGGGAGGTAATTGTCCCACCCAGCACTGGTGATACCTCAGCTGTGTCCAATTCTGGGTGCCACATTTTAAGAAAGAAGTGGGGAAAATGGAGAGTCCAGAGGAGAACCTGGAGTCCAGGCTGGCCCTCTGGAAAATAAATAAGATAGATGATAGATGAAGCCATCTTGTGATAGATGAAGCCATCCTGCAACCTGAATTTGGAGCTGGATGGAGCATCTATGTTATCCAGGGTCTGTCAGATCTGGGTTTTTATGTTTAAATTAAACTGAACCATGCCAGTCTGCCAGGGGATACATGGATCATTGGCGATGAGCTATGGGATGACGAGAATGACTGGAGAGTGCAGTTCACAGATCAACCTGAACTGGAGAACTTCACGGTGACCTTGAACTGTGATGACTTCTATGGGGGCCATTTGGTGGGTGACTGGGCCCAAATAGCAGAGCAATCTGTCAATGGCCTCCATGAAGTTGGGAGGAGTCTTGCACTGAGTCGGGATATTATGTACTCGGGCCAACTCCAAATCCATTAAATTGTTTGAAGCGCCAGAGTCCACTAGAGCATCTAGGTTAACCTCCAACACAGCGAGGTGCCGAACAAGGAGTGGGAATTGGAGGGGTGTCGGACTGGCAATTTATGGTTGCCAATGTTCCAGCAAAACTGTTGTCATTAGGCACTGGCATGAGGGGGAAGACACCAACCCAGCCCAGATCCCCATATCAGGGCTGGAGTTTGCCATTTCCCAACCTGAAACACAGACCAGCTTTCACAGGGCAGCTTGACATGAAGTGTCCTAATTTACCGCTGTATAGGCATAGGCCTGATGCTTGACACTGGTTTTTCTATGCATCGGAGAGACAGGGCTGGGCTTGGCCAAACTACTTGGGTTTGGCTGGGATGAGGGCACCGGGAGTTGGCAAACCAGATCTGGTGAGGTTGGCACGGGTCACGAGGTTGATCTTCTTTCTAGGCGGCGGTCCATCAGGCAGTCACCAATGTTAATACTAAACGTGATCAAGGCGTGCAGACTGGCTGCTGGCTCTATTGGCGCAAGCTCATCTTTGATCTCCACTTCAAGGCCAAGACGGAAGTGGTAGCACCGGGCAGCCTCATTCTATGTCAGCCACGAGATGCCAAAACTCCGAGGCGTCATTAGCATCTGGCCGGCGTCCCTACAGTAGGGTCTGGAGCGCAGCCTCAGCTGTGTGTACACAGCTCAGGTCAACAAGCAATAGCTTGAATCAAGGCCGCCGACTGGTTCAGGACGTTACAGAGGTGGGGAGGCCCCAGTCAGCCACCTAATGACAAGTCCAACCTGAGATTGGTCTGTGTAGAAGGACTGCAGGTGCAGCAGGATTAGGAGCTGGGACTGGTTCATAAAACCACGGGACTGGCTGTGGTCACCACCACACTTGTCCAGCAGGGGAAACTTAGGTTCCCCACGGCGAGGAATCTTGGGTAACCTGCCGCGTAGCGTTCTGTGCCTGCAGGGCATCTGCAGGTTCTGTAGGGTGCCCACTATCTCTGACAGAGACACGGGGCTTAGGGGGACCCTTTCAGCAACTGACCTGTTCCCACGCTCCTTCTATACCTCCTCCTTTTTTGTGGGGGCTGCTCAAACTGTCATGGACCAGGGTCTAGTGGTCGGAGCAGTGGTGGCCAGAGTCAGGAACCAGGGCTCAGAGCTGGATTCAGCAACTCAGCAGGGCCCCAGGGCCGGAGCAGAGCGGGAGCAAGGCAGGCTCAGGAATGATCGCAGCTGCCAGGGTCAGCATCAAGCAGCTGCTGACCAAGTGCTACTGTAACCCACACACCTCCTGGTGTGATGTTCTGTCCCATCTAGTGGCACCGAAACCACTTAGAGAGAGATCGAGTCTGCTCTACAGCCTTAGCTAACAGTCAGATGGCTTTTAGCTCATGCAATAGAGGCTCATGTACTAAGCTCCAGAGATCCCAGGTTTGATCCTGCCTGCCGACGACTGGGTCTGTCGCCATCACGCTACTGCTGGGCTTAAGAGCAGGCCTGGCAATGCCGCTCAGCCAGTCAGACCATCTGGCTGATTAGGGGTTTTCGCCTTGGTTGGCTAGTGGCTCCTTGGCCTAGCTGCAGGCCCCCATTCCTGACAGAGATTCTGTGGGTTCCTGTTTCAGTCCAATTCCTGCCATTGCACAGTCCTCGGGAGGCTAATGGCATCACTGACGCCACATGACTGTTCATGTTTCAGATCCGTTCTTGTGAATTAAACAGGGAAATGACTTTATCCAGCACCTGTCGGCTGGGGCGGAAGGGCAAAGACTGGTGGCTGTGTGCTCTTCTCCCGGGAAGGTCAGCAGGGGGCTCCGATGCAGTGAAATGAAAAGGCTGAAATGGAAACCCGGCCAAGATGGTGAGCTCCCCGGTAATTGCAGTGAGGGCCGGGTAGGGTAACCAGGGCAGGGAAAGGGAAGCGGGAATTGGCCAGCAGCAGGCTCAGGAAAGCTTTTAAGGTGCGATGATGAAGCAAAATGACTCACTGGCTCGGAGGAAGGGAGAGTTTCAGATAGCAGAGCGCTGGGGCAGCACAAGTGAAGGAATCCTCCTTGGCTTGCCTGTACCACCCCTAAACGTTCTGCAGTTAAGATTGTTATCTAGCCGTTGGCTTTGATCCGTGCATTTTATGTTACATCTGCACAGTACGCTGCCTGCAGGTTTGGGCAATAACAAGCTGTTCCTTCAGTCAGCCTAATTACTGCT